TTAGGGGGAGACGGAAGGTTAGGTGTGCAGATGAGATTAAGAAGTTGGCAGGTGTAAAAATGGCAGCAGCAAGCACAGGACCGAGTTGACTGGCGGAACATGGGAGAGGCCTTTGTCCTGCAGTGGACGTAGTCAGGTTGATGATGATGATGATTATATAGGCGCCATTTTAAAAAATAGGTTTATATAGGCACTCATAGGAATTTAGGCATAACTGTTAAAAATGGCTATTTATAGGCACTATAAAAACATCATAGAACCTCTTTTTAACCCTCTAATTCATGCTCATATATCAAAGTGGCACGATAAGGGTGCAAGAAACAAATTAAGCATTTGCCTATAAATCAATCTCTAGTCGCAACGTATGCTGACGTGGTTCCTCTTATGCCTCCCTGCGTGTGTCTGTGTCACCGTGTTCTGTCTTGTTCTCTGTGTGACACTGCTCGTCCTAATGAAGCTGCAACCTAGCACAAGTTTGGCAGAGTTCAAAAACAGTTTCAATGCTAAGTGCCTTTGTACTGCTGAACAGCTCCACTCTGTTTTGGCAGTCAATAAACGGCTCCTGAGCACTACACTCGGTTACAAGTCAAGTGCCCTGCAGCTTCTCATTGTCAAAGGACCCACTTCCAGCCACTGGAATTGCCATGTCGTTACGACCAGCTAGCTTCATGCCATGATAACAAGAGGAATCACAAATGGACCTCAACCAAAATGGCCTCATCAGCTGAATGTATCAGCATCATGAGCATGGAGTAAGAATGATCACGTGTTGACACGTGCCTGAGCGGCCAAAAAGGTTCGGTCTCGCGGACGCGCTGTGTTGCAAGCCGTCGGATGGCGTCGCAGCCAACGTACCCAGCAAAGCGGTGCTGGCACATGGAAATTCATTTGCCTCCCCAACGTTTTCGTACCAAGCAGTGTGACTAACACTCAAAGCACGAAAGAAATTTGTTTCTTCAGAATAAAAAAGAAAGGTTTACCAGGTTTGAGGATTAATTAATCAAAAATACCTTGTGCAGGGTGTGAAAGTTGTTAACATGGATCGATCCGAATGTGCTCAAAGCTAAGTTCCGCACTAATATTTTTGTCTGTTCACGGCATTTCTCAACACAAAGTAATTAAAAAAACAGATTAGACATCGTGCTATTCCTCTATAAAAATATTTCCCGGTGGGAAAGAAATGCTAGGAACTGCCACGTGCATGTTAAATAGCCCCAGATGGTCAAATTTAGTCAGGAGCCCTCTACTACGGCGTTCCTCATAATGAAATTGCAGTTTTGATGCGTTGGATCTGCAGTAATGATTATTATTCCTAATTAAAGAGAATAGTTACTGCACTAAAAAGGTATTTCATGCGTATCGCCGCTTCATTTACACAGAAAATCATTGAAGCATAGTTGAGCTTGTTACATGTGAACGTGATATAAATATTCGAAACGTGCAAGCATTTCATATAAAGCACACAAGAGCAATGCAGTTGTTCTGCGAAATATATAAATATTTGAACCACGCAAGTCTTTCATATAGAGCGCACTAAAGCAATTCAGTTGTTTATGCCTGGATGTTACAATGCGAATTCTCATATTTATGTCAACGATCACTGTCAGACGGCACTTCGAAGAGAGGCACACGCTCTGCACAAGCCTGATAGCCAGAACGGAAGTTCGGCACAAAACACGTTCTACCCAGTTCGGGAATGTCTCAGCAATTCGATGTCACCTTCATCAATAGAATAGCAATAAACGCACACAAAAAAAAACTGGCTTCAAAAGGGCGTCATCGCACATGCCGACAAAAAGACCCAGAATCAGCTGCATGCGCGTTTGTGCCGAGCGTGTTACCAAGACGGCTGACCCCGCTCGTCGTAGTGTCATCTAACAAGGCAGCGATGAAGCTGCAAGATAACTGCTGACAGCCCAAACATTATCTGGATGCGCTGGGATTGCGCTTTTCAACATGTTGCGGGGATAGTCTCAGCAGCTGTGTATTCTTGCACCGTGGTCGTGAGCAAGATCTGTCTCTCACAAGATGACTTTCGTGCCAGTAATTCGTTTCACAAAGTGTAGATTACTAAGGCACTCTCCATTAACTCTTACGCCTAGCTTCTCCCATTCTAGGTCCCTGAAAACCTCCTGCACACACGCGGTAGTTAGCATTGGGGAGGTCATATCCTTTTGTCTTAACCCTTCTTTATTGGTATTCTGTTGCTTTCTTTACGGAGTGCTATGGTGGCAGTTGATCTGCTGTAAATTTCTTCCAGGATGTTTATATATTCTTTTCGACGCCCGCATTACTGCTGATATCTTTATTTATTTATTTAGAATACATCACAGGGCTTCCGAAGAAGCATTGAGTGAGGGGGTACAGAGCAATAAGTATGATAAAAACTAAGCACAGAGAATGAACACAAAAGTTAAACACAGGCCAAAAACTGTTAAGCAGTATCAAAAAGGTAATCATTGCAGGAAATTAAAATTTCTAGCAAGCCACTAATGTAAGTTTTAAGCAAGTATTTCAAAATGTCTGTTTACTTGTTCACGAAAGAGTTTACGGTTGGTGATTCTGACGCTTCAGGACGATTATTCCATAGTGCAGTGGCGTGAAGTAGAGCAGACGAATGAAAAGACTGAGTCCTTCCAAAAGTGGCCTAATGCTTAGACTGTTGTGTAAACGTCGTGATGTATGCGTACGTGTTTGAATCAGTAATTTGTTCGGTAAACATGGCCCTTTTTGCTCTTGCTGCTATGGCTTCTGCTGCTTTCATTTCGTTCTGTTGCTACTAGTGTCAGCGGCAGCACAGTAAACCCAAGCAATGTTGTGCACAGTGAAGTGAGTGGTTCCACTTGGAGGCAGGTAATTTTAAGTGTGCCAGCCCGATACTAGCTACTAAAATGCGATTTTAATTTCAACATAACCACTTCCTTGTCACAAAAGTAACACTAATAGGTTTCTGAACAGCTATTTCAATAATCAACATCAACTTAATAGGGGCCTTTAGTGTCCCTTTAAAGATATCATAGTTGAAATCAAGAAGAAATGGACACGGGTCGGGCACTTAGCGCGGATAACTGCTGGTAATTAAGGATCACTGACTGAGTTCCCAGAGAAGGCAAGCAGTTGAGGGGGCGACAAAGTTAGGTGGGCAGATGAGATTAGGAAGTTTACGGGTATAATGTAGGAGCGCAAGCACAGGACTGAGTTGACTGGCGGAACATGGGAGAAGCCTTCGTCCTGCAGTGGACGTAGTCAGGCTATGATGATGATTAATGTCACGATATGAATTGCACAAGAATACTTGTTTGTGTGTTGTGCACAGATTGACAACGATGATCCACACGTGGTGTTTCGTGTGCTCTGTAAGCACTCGGCGCTGCTTGGAAACAGTCGTGTTGTTGTTGGTGCTCCAACATTCGTGTTGTTGATCGGCGCTCCAAGTACCCTGTTCGATTTAAATACCCTGTTGAAATCACTATCTGCATGATGTGGATGGCAACAAACCACAGTGTTAAAGCCCATTCCGATGTCGCCTGCTCGGGCTTCATGGCTGAAAAGAGAGCCAGCAAACAAACGGCTGAGAAAGAAAACCCGGAAGATCAGAAATTCATTATCAGTAACAGTAACAATTCACTACTTCAGCTGACCAATAAAATCTCTTGCATGTTTTATTGGAGCAGAGAAATTAAAAAAATTCTATGAAATTCAGCTCTGTTTGAAATCAAGGCTTGCAGAGGAACTACTTTATGACATAGGCGCACTCATAGAAGCTTGGGTCCAAGTGCGTGTTGCCTGTAGGTGCGAAGCGATCAACTGTGATGTCACGTTGACGTAGGAACACCGTTGTCCAAAGGGTTGTTTAGTGATGAAGCCACACTGGTCTTGACTTGCTACCCAGTATAGCATAATAAACAAAACACTATTGTGATATGCAAGCAGTGCAACTGTGCATACGTGAGCTAGTTATTAATTTTGCTGCATGCAGCAGGAGGAGACACACAGTTTTGCACAAAAGACTGCTCTCAATCCCTTGTGGCTGTCGAGGTTTCCTCTTTTATGCTCTATTGGTGTTGTGCAGTAATCTACAGATGTTGCACAATAGCCAGTGTACGTGGATCGCATCAAAACTGCAAAATCAAGCACGCATTTGCACTTGTCCAATTGAGTGGAAACAAGCAATTGTTTTATGCCTTTATGAAATGCCACCCTTGAAGGATTTTGGAATGTAAAGAAGCAAAAAATAAGCAACATTCAAGGTGGTGGTATTCACAAAGTTTCAGCTACAGAGTAATGGTCTAGCAAATGCTGCTTCTTAAGTCTTGGTTATTGTAAGGCACTTTCCAAAACTTGTTTGGTAATTTATGTGTTAAAAAGCTACAGATACACTGCAATGTGTTTGCAGTCTTGAAGGCAAAGTGTTGCAGAAGTTATCTTTGCAAGCTAGTGAACTGTTTTACCTACTGCTCATTGATGATGGTTATCTCAGCCACATCTGTACTGTAGTTTGGAAGAGATAATGGACTTTAAAAGAGTCTTAAGAGTGCTGTTTTCAGGCGAACTGGCACTCTATTTTGTCTCCTACTTTTTCTTTGCTTGTCCGAGTTGTGCCACAAATATTATATTAAGCTTCAAATGTGTGAACATAACGTGCGACTGTCTGCGCGCGCGTGCGCACACACACCACACACACACACACACACACACACACACACACACACACACACACACACACACACACACACACACACACACACACACACACACACACACACACACACCTTTTTACTGAGAACAGCGGCTTTCTTGTCCTTTGTGTGTGGCAAGGGCACAGTCTGTGCAGTATTGCACTCCCAAACCATTCTCATGAACTTGTTGAGGAGGTAATAGTTGTGATGATGAGGCTACTAGCAGGATATTCATACATGTTGAAAACAAAAATGCAATGTCAAATTCTTAACATTGAAGGAACAATAGCTCTAACAACATGCACATTATTTTTGTGACAGGCATCAGGCAGTTCCTGTGCCGTGCATGCAGCTACCATGCGGTGACGCAGTCCGATCTCAGTCGGCACGAGAAGACGCGACAGCACCTGGTGCGACAGCAGAATGCGTGCCCCAGCTGTGGCCTAGGTTTCAATTCCCCGACCCAGCTTGGTGACCACGCGCTCAACTGCGGTGCGGTCAGAGACCTGACTGCCAAGGTGCAGTCCACGGAGGCAAACAACAATGACCGCAGCTTTGAGAGCAGGAATGGAGAGTTGCTGACCCGGCCACCGGCAGACGACTCTGCTGCCGGCCATGGTGGAAGTCGGCTGGAAAAGAGCTGTGTCCTCTTGAAAAAGAAACTGCTTTGCTTCGAGGGGGCACTGTGAGTGGCGGCAGCAACGATCTCACTCCCTCTCCTCAGGCCTGCAGCCATTGTTTGGCTTTCCGACAAGTGATATTCGTAACGGGTCTACATGCAGACGTTGAACATCGAGACACACACACGCACACACATAGAAATAACTGGAATGCCGGTGAATGACATGCTTATTTGGGTTTGCATTACTGTTTTAGTCTGATGTGCAAAAGCATTGTGGTGACATTCCAGGCTGACTACTACGGGAGTACGTACTTTATTAGCTTATCTTTTTGTGAGTCTATGCTGCCCCCTGTTTCATGGGGAAGATGGCCCAAGGAATACCTAGGTGACCTTGCTTTGCATTAATATTTTTGTTGTTGCTGTTGTTGTTATTGCCTAATCATTGGCTAGCAGTTTGCTGCTGGCTATCCCCAGTGGAATCGATTAAGTTCCTTGGTTGTTGGGTGTGAGAGTCTTTTTTGAGCAAGAGCAGTGAGCTTTTGCCTGAGAGGCCCTCCTCGCTTACCCATTTTGCTTGGGTGCCTGGCTTGTGCAAGAAGACGCATTTTTTTTTGTTGGTTGTTTCACTAGTTGATTGGTTATTTGTTACTTCTCTTATACACGAGCATTTTTCTTTCTCTCTGTGTACAATCTGTTGAAATGAAGTTGTGTTCCAGACGATTTTTTCATTTGCATTGTCTTTTTTGTCTGGAACAATCCTCAAAGCGGGCATAATGTCGCTCACCACATAGTTCTTTGTGTGGGTGGTGCTCATTGTTGAGTGGCGGTGTGCCAGGCGCACATGAATACGGGTGTTTTTCCTCCTCAGATTCCATACAACTCAGGGCTTGTAGTGATCTGATAGATAGACGCCTCCTCTGTTCCAGCTGGGAACAAACCAAGTCTAGTTCACTGAAAGTGCCATGGGTGCTGTGAAGTGAATTAAATGTCCAGACACGTAAATGAGCACTTTTTCAAAACATACGGGTGGATTTTTGTGATTTATTCCCCTGCTTGTTTTTATTTTGCACTGAACTGCAACATCTGTGACTAGTGTCATTGTAACAACCTGTTATCTTAGAAAAAACTCTGTTTGCAGTATATAAGTGGTTGCGCGAATTAAAAGACTGTTGTGCAATTGTTATAAATGTGCTTTGGACAAGTACACTAAAGAAGAAAAAAAAAACACAAAAGAACTGTCAATGTGAGTGTATTTTAGTGTCTCTGCAAGGCAATAAACATGTCAAAGTATAAGCTTTATGCTGACATCAATTGTTTGTGCTTGCGCCTCCACCCTGTGTTCCGAGTCCTTTCATTGCGATAGCAATTGTATGGACAGTCTCGGCTGGTGTTTGCTGTCGCCACCGCCGTCATTAACTACACACACACACACACACACGCGCGCGCGCGCGCGCGCTGGGAAGGATACTTTAGTCTTCTCATTCTGAGGAGCGAGCGAACAGGGGGGGAGGTGGTGGCTTATGGATGCCGCGCTATTGGGCAAAGATCAGCGCGAGACTCTTGCCCTCACAGCAGGTGATAGCTTCTACGGGCTGCTCTTGCAACATGAAAAAACAGTGCCCAAAAGTGTACCTAGAGCGGCCGTCCACATCACACGATTTATAGCCCTTTGTACCAGCATGGGCTGCCCATGAGAGGCACTTCTCGTCAATGCCGTCACTCCACACAAGCCTTGCTGTGGTTATCTATTGTGGCCGCACCGTAGAAAACTTGGTTACTTAGCAAGTCCTTGTTTACTACAATTAATATTGCACCTAAAAACATTCCAATATGTTGCTATTGCATTCATTGCTTGGCCCTTTTGGCGAAACTGTGCTTCTTTATTGAGAAGTACAGCATGTGAGAAATCCAGAAGGCTTTCCAGCTCGTCATGCACACAAAATGTGCTTTGTGTGTTCTGGGCTTTTGGTTTCATTCCAGTACTTCACCAGGTATGTACATGACAGCCTTGCCTGGAGGTCTTCATGGACAAGGTAATCAAAGGCTGCCTGCAATCCAAAGCACAGGTAAGATGAGCACAGAGTACGCCAGACAAGCATTTGACCTATAGCACTGGCTGAATCTTCGCGAATGCTGCCAGCCAATCAATTGATACCTGATCCTAAATGTGGAGCACATTTCTTTCAACTCTTTGTTTTTGTAAATGCTTCAATGGGCTCAGTGAGACAAGCGTTACATGGAGTATATTTTAATAATTTTCCATATGCACCAAAGTCTGTTGCGCTGCTCTCACGACATCGTTGCACAAACTCTTGGCAAGTGAAGCTGGGTAGCACGAGCCATGGCTCAATATACAAAGCAGTTATGTTGCAAAATAAAATCTGCCTCGTATAGAGACAATTCAGTTTCTGATGATCTCGATCTTTATATTAAACAGTACCTTTAAGTACCTCTCGCTCAGCCTGTCAAGAATACAAGATGGCCCAACCATGTGGAAATCGGCAGCCCTCCCTCTCAGGCGAAGAGTGTCCACACGCAAATTATTTTTCTTACACCATGCTGAAGGCACATGTGCACAATGATTAACACATTGTAAAGGCTCGAGGCACAAGAAGTTATGCCGAAACTCGTGCACCACTAGTTGTCTGCAAAACTAATTATACTATTTGCCCCGAGATCGAGCAGAGTCGCTGCCTGGTTGGCACTGGCTGAAGCGCAGCTAGTGTGGATTGCTCCCTGCGTCGTCTGTTAACCACATAAAGCTATACTCGGCGACAAAATTTTTTGGCACTGAAGGGAAAGCTACGGAGGTGGAGCTTCTGCACATGTAGCAGCACGCGAAGTAGTCCGTTTTGGTGCGCATCTCGCAACGCTGTAGAAAGTGACGCTGGCGCAGCATCAGCGTTTCATGTAGACGCACATGCCGCTTAGCATTTGAGGTGCACGTGAAAAACCGGGACTTTCTCATTCGTTCCAGAACGCGAAGTCACAGTGAATAAATTAAAGGAGTTACGAATATCTTAATGGTGTGAGCTGCGTCCTGTCTCGAATATCCATGTAGAAAATAAAAGATTTTTTTATGTTTCACGAAAATACAAGTGCTATTGTGGAACTACATTCACTGGCGGTAGGATTCACGCAATTTGGCTTTGTAGTTTTTGCTCCAATTCCAAGAAACGCTTCTCGCCAAGTATAGCACAAGCGTGTATGTTGCGCTCATCCTCGAAGGGTGGTTTGTCTCGCTTTGTTCATGCAAGTTTAACTGCTTCTGTGTTTGCCTAGCATGATCTACTGAAGAATTTGTACTTGCTCAGCTGTCTATGCAATGCAATAATATCGGTTCGTGCATTTGCCAAGACTACTGTGAATTCTCATCGTATCTGCCGATCGTATCTGCCGTTCGCCGAGATCATTTCAGTGTAGATGCTGCTTCACACTTTAAGCACATCGTAAAGTGCCCTTGGCATTGTCCCAAACATGAAGAATATTAGATATCATGTGAATGCAGCGGTCTAGCGATAAAAGAAATTTATATCTTGTTAGGCATCTAACTGCGGGGCTGTTTGTTACCCGTTATGCGATGGGCATTGCGTTTGAGATATACACTTATTCCAAGGTCCTGTGCCCAATACAGTGAAATATTTGTCAAGTAACTACTGATACCTCGGTACTTAAATTGTCCCTTAAAAAAAAAAACTGAAAATGGAACGGCACGGAGGTTTTTAAACTTCAGTCGTCGTGTGCAATTTTAACACTTGGCAACATTTATATAAACACACCCGTGAGGTTACAATAGGATTTGCGAAATCCAGGTGGTGAAAAAATAATTCAGATGACGCATCGTATAATTTCATGCAAAATGCCATCTTTTTTCTATATTCATATATTTCCTTGCGCGCTCTTGTGGCATTGTTATAAACTGATGGAAGCAGCGGACATTTTTCGTTTGAAAATATTATGTTTTGTCCCATAAACTAACCGAACCTTTGTTGCATAACTGTAATGCAGATAATCAAGGAAAGCTGGATGTTGAACTCGTTATCTTTTTATACTGTTTTTGGAGTAAGAACAAGTGCGATAAAGCACTGTCAGCCGTGTGGTTTTCTTGAAAAAGCTCATCAACTGTCCTAAATTCATTTCATGGAGAATTGAATGGAAGAAAACGCGGATGTGAATTGGTGGTTATTTTAGCTCATCGCCAGAGAATATGGAATCGCTCTCTTTCTTTTTTTACAGCAAGAGCTGTTATGAGATCACTTTTCGGGTCACGCGCAGTTGCATGTTGTCCGCCGCCGGTGTTTGTAACCGCACCGTGCGAAATTAGAAGAACCTTGCTCTAATGACACAGTGGGGCTTGAACCTGGGTCCGCTGGGTGCCAGCTCTATATTCTACCACTGAGTTACGCCAGTGCTTGTAACTTGTCAAACTTGCCTTAGGCAGGCATGACCTAGCACCAATGGCACAGTGGGGCTCGAACCTGGGTCCTCTGGGTGCCAGCCCAGTATTCTAACACTGAGCTATACCGGTGCTTGTGACTTAACAAACTTGCCTTAGGCAGGCTTGATGTCAGGAAAGCAATTGCGTTAATACGACTTATAAAACGTTTTAAAACAGCGAAAGAACAACCAATCGCTGCACAATATAATTAGCATAACGAGTGGCTCATCCAATGCTCGAACCCATTACAAAAGCTTGTTCTTGTTTCCCTATTAACTGTGGCGCATACCCACTACACCATAATTCCTCATCCTCGTCAGCCACTGCATGGACAAAGAGACAAAATTCTTTGCAAGTGTTTAGCGGACACCATGCTTCTCAGAAGAATGACGAAATATAGCATAGCAAATGCCGGCCTACTACCCAAAAGTTTATTATTTATGCCCTATTGGGTACCAAGCAAGTGTGCTTGCAGTAGTTACCCAATGAGTTTTTTGAGAAGGCTCCGAAAGGCTGCTCTTCTAGCTTTCGCTGTGACTGTGTTGCGCCTACCGTGCAGGCCTGGCGTTTTTGTGGTATCTAAAACTTGCATGCATGAGGCAAATAATGAATTCAGTCGCACTACAAGCTCAATCCTTAAAAATAAAAAGACAAAAAACGTGACACAGTGTAAAAATGCCAACAGTCACCACGCGCAAACATCCCTTCAAGTGGCAGATCGCATTTGTCTCGCAAGTAATAGCAATGTTCTGCGAGCGTTGTACATCCATTCGACAATGGGCAACATACATATTGCGAGTAGGCTGCAATCAATGTATTTTATTAGCTGGCAAACTGCTCACAGCGATTACAAAAAAGTGCTGCTGTGTACATTTGTATGCGCACCGCGGGCCACCTATCCACACTATCGTGGCGATAGTGCTGCCACCTATAGGTGGCAGCACTATCGACCTATAGATATAGGTCGATCTCGGGGGCGATTGGAGATGGCAAGAAACAAAATGGTTGACACTCAGTTTGTTACAAAGTGCAATGTGGGAAATATAGATGCAAGCTTAGCACTTATTTTATCGCTACAAGCTGACAAATGGCAGTAGTGCACCAGCTTGACAAATCTTTTCATGTGGAAGCACTTGAGCTGTAAAAACCAACATTACTAAAGCACATTGCCAAAAAAAAGAAAACTGCATTTGCTGCAGAACGACCTATTTTAGCTTACCCTTGCATAGTAGCCATTTTTTCAAGGAAAGTTCCAGCCAACTACTTTGACAAGGACAGAAAGACCTATGACACATCACTGGACTAACGGCTGAACTCGGTGGTGTGTCATGTGTTCTCTGGAACCCTCTTCACTATGTGCAGCCAACAAGCTCAAGCATGTGCGATTCTTAGACGATGTTTCCACATGCCAAGGACGCTAAAAAAGTCGATCGTGCAAATGGTCACCTGGTTATTTTGTCCTTGGATAAGTTCATTGCACTGTAGCCTGAGTTGCCATGGCCGTTTTGTGTGAAGATGTTACCCCCCAAAATTTTGCGCAGCTTGACGTGATGTGCCTACAGCTGCACTCAAAGCTGTACAGAAAAACTTCACTATGGTGTGCCGTACATGGGATGGTATCAGAACTGTTCCTGAAAAAGTTCTGTAGCAGTCCGTTGAACCCACAAGCATAAAGTTGCTTGCACACTTGCAGGAAGCACCAACCTTCAACAATACAATGGGAACTGATTTGCCTTTGTGCATTGCCATGTCTGTGACTTGTTGAGAATGTAGCAGAGGTAAACCTGAAATTACTTTGCACTGTTAGTGCGTTTTCGTGGAGCTTGAAGCATGGTGTGCAGTGCCTATTAAATGCGTCTTACATGCAACTGTTGGCAGATGTATTATCAGATTAACCTTCATGCATGGTGAAAACAATTTTGTTTGCTTGGACTAGATTATCTATTCATTAACTATCCAGTTACCAGCTTAATGCAATGATCACCAATGATTTTATGAATTGAAATGATTTAGTAAAGGTTAGAACATCGTCAGCCTATTTTATGCCCAGTGCACAACGAAAGTTTCCGTTCACCCTGTCCTGCTCAAGCAGATTTTTTATTGCAGTAGCAATTATATGGACACTCTCGGCCGATTTGGCCATTGCCGTCATGTCCCAGATATGCATGTGTACTTATATATGTAAAAAAAGGCATTAAAAAAGCCACTCTCTAGCTCACAGTTTGCAGCATGTGAGTTTTGCGGTGTTTTCCACTTTGCCATTGCATGATTAGACTGACTGACCGGTAAGCTTTCTGTTCTGCTCAAGAAAAGCGGCACAATAAAAAAAAATGGCTGTCGATCCCTTTAAAGGAGCACTGGCAAGAAATTTACTCATGTCAAGATTTTTGCGTCAATGAGTAGCTATTGACCTCTTAGTAGTGATTTGCGACCTAAACGGTAACTGAGGAACAAATAACTACCACTTTTATTGATTTATACACTGGTAGCTAGCATGATTCAAAACGGCTGACAAGCCCATCATATTTAGTGCTGGGAATGCTTCCTTGCTGTCACCTGCACATCGTGCCACAGCTGACCACTTCTCTAAAAAAAGTGATGTGGGCTCAG